GTTAAACATGGTTATATGTTCATCTGTATATACTGCCATGAACTGGACTTTAGAGGTATCATCAGCTTATTGATCTGCAAATAACCATAGATGCAAACAAAATATAAATCAAATTCTCGGGCTGGACCAAGAAAACAGAGCCATGGCTTGTGAAAGTCTTTTTTTAATATTATGTAAATGACTAACAACATTAAAAAAAATGCTCTTTTTTCCCTATTCTGCATGTCTTATTACTGCTCATGTTGGAATTGTTTAGCCGCTGCTGATGTCTTTCGGGTCTCTCTGAGTCGTCCTTTGTTATTAATATTCAACCTCCCCAAAAACATCTGTGGACAGAATTGTGAGAGAAACTGTTGCATTTTTCCAGCTGTGAAATATCTCAGTGTCGTGTTTATTCTTTATGATCCAACAATTTTCTCCTCTGCTTGAGAAACTCTTAAACCATTTAAAAGCCTTGCTCTCTACTGCAAATGGTCATTCACCTTAGGGGCTCTCTTAGATGCTTTGTAAATCACTTTCCTCTTCACTGGGATCTGGTCTTGACTTTAAGGAGGATAAATGACTCTGAAAACTTTCTTTTTAGTTTTGTCACTTTTCGTACCAGAAAGATTTATGAACATGGCCACAGGACTGGCTTATGTGCAACGTAAGCATCGGTTCAGAGCAGTTCAGAAGCAACCAATTAAATCTATTAAACAACTACAACTCCCATGAGGCCGAGGTGTTAGAATCTATCTCAAGCAAAATCAATGAGGGGATTCCTGAGCAAGCAAATACTTACATTATATGCTTTAATGAACCTGAATTAAGAGGTGTAACTGCAAAAACTCTGAATTAATCTGATGAGTATTGATAAAGAAATAAAATACAGTTAGTGCATAAGTGTTCACAGCCCATATTAAAGCTCCTGCTTGTAAGACTTAATATCAGTGGATGATTGTGACATGATGGATATCCTAGGGCTCAGCTGGCTTGACCACTACGATATGTTTTTGTCAGCTGTAGTTACACTAATGAAGAAATTCTGCCAAGTTGCTGTTTTTTTGTGAAGTCACTCCATCACTGCACCATCACCATGACCCTAGTTAGGTCTATTGATTCAACTTAGTTGGAAGAAGACAGTGTCAGGGTGGAGAGATTTAACCAGACATATACAGTTCACAGTTCAGCTGCTGTATTACATTCAGTTACTGTTTTTAAGCATGTTGTAATACTGTGATTTTTTTTCTGTTTTCCTAAAAAGATGCTGATGTTTGATTGCTAGAGAAACTTTTCAGATCTTGATATGTGTTGGATGGGTTTTTCGGTGTACTCTTAGACTGAGAAAGATTGGTCCACCAGCTCAGGCATTTTTCTCAAATATCTTCTTTTGTTGGTAAACTCTTGGCATCATTTGAGGAGTTTTATTTTTCTTCCACAGCAGTTTGTGAAGTGAAAATTTTTTTGGGGAAAAGTGAGCTCAGTTTTTTGAGGAAAGCTTTCAGTAGTGAGGAAACGATCTCTTCACTCAGCTCCATCAGGTCTGTAGAACTGCAGTGCTCTGCATTAAACTCACTCTTGTCTCTTTTTTTCCGTGGCCTTCCGGAGAGCTCTGTCCATTTTTCCATCAGGCCTTTTAATGTGGCAATTAGGTAAGAGGAGATGGAAGAGTCACTGAGCAGTCATTCCTCTTTGCCACCTTTTTCTCATTTTCACTGCTCCACTGTCCTTCTTCTGGGTTTGGCAGAACCAACAGCCCCTCTGGACTCATTTGTGGTCTTTTCTTTTTTCAGTTTATTATAATAATGGATACCTTAGGCCCTTATTTGCAGATGAAACTAAAAGAATCAAGAAAAAGAATAAGCATATTGCAGCTTAAATGTGAATGTGTCAAATTTCACCACATTTTAAATCCTGTTTTCTTGTGAAGTGTCATTTCCTGTCAGTTGTGGTATTTAATCACTGTTATCAGCATATTTGTAAAAAGAAAACATGTTCTTCAGCCTGTCTGACAGAATTTAGATTCAGATAAATAATAAACTGTGATATCTATGTGTTTGAATCTTCAAGTTTAATTCAGTATTTTTTTTTTCTTCACAGTATGCCTAAAACTCACCCTCACTCCTTACAGACTGTGGCCATCCTGCTGCAGCAGTTTTCCTTAAATTCAAAGATTATTTGGCTAACATCAGTTTGGTACAAACATATTCTTGTGTCAACTGTTGCTCTCATCTATGCATTGATTTTTATTCAACCTTTACTCATGCAGGTTAATCCCACTGAGGTCAGTGATCTCTTTTCCAAGGGAGACCTAAATCAAAATAATCAGACTCCCATAAAATTTTAACAAAATCCATTATAGAAGTCACCCAAAAACATTTGCATACAGAAAACTTAAATTCTAGACTTTTGCAATGGGTTTTAAAATTATTTATGCTTTGCTATTTGGAATCAGATTGCTGAATGTTCCAGGAAAAGGTTCAAAATACCTAAAAGCTTTACTTCCTGACTCACTTTAAACTTTGAAAACAACATATTACTCTGTGATTTAAAAATAACTTTCATTCTTCTACATTTAAAGGGAGGAAACATCAGCTGGAATTTTGCCCAGAATGGCTTTATAAATGGAGAGATAGCAATGACTACGCCAGTGAATTCTTAAAGCAGTCCATTTGAAATATTAAGTACAAAGGTGAGTAAGAAAGACACAGTTTGTGAAATAGAAATAAATAAACTTAGTTCATCACTTACTCAGTCCAGGGTTTGAAGACTGAGTGCAGGCATCCAGGTACAACACACCACCATAGGATAGATGGAAAGACGGACTTCACTGCTTTCTTTTTCACAGAGGATGAGAAAAATCTTTATTTCTATGAAAAAATCAAAGTGAAACTTTCGGTTTTGAATAACATATTTGGTGTGCACATTAAAAGACATGCATTCGTGTGCTTGCTCTTGATTATGTGTATGTCAACACATCATCGATCAAAAACCCTAAAATGAGTCCCATCTGTTATATTTTCTAGCAGATGGGACTGTTGTAATCATTCCTAAAGATGTACAGAAGACATTAAGAACAAGCTGCAGTTTAAAAAGTCAATCTTCTGCTAAATCAAAATCAAATGACTAGTTTATGATGATTTTTTAAAATAATTTAGCATTTAAGAAAAGGATGGGCTTCATCATTGTAGTTGATTTAAGGTCAACATCATTTTAAAACCCAAGTCTTTAAAAACTAGTTCCAACCATTAATTTTTAAAACCCGATTATTGCACACTTTCAATAGTTAATATGGGTTAAATGCATTTTTAATCCCGTTTGAATTTCATTCTTTTGCATTCAAAATTACAGTAGTTTTTTAGTCCATATTAACAATATAAATCAGTGTAGCGCAGTAAACTCTATGACCTTGACTTACAGATTTAATATTTAAATAAATCCTCTGATACATCGCTGTGCTTAAAACCATCACTTGAAGGTTGAAGAAAACCTTAATCAGATGTGTATACTTTTAATGCTTGAAAACAACATTGAGGTTCAGGTTATAAAATATAACCCAACAAAAAACTATGATTCCCATGGTCTGTGTCGCTTAGTGATGACGTTTTCACAAACCCCTACCGACCTCACTACCTGAGGTTGGTAGGTTTTCACTCTCCCTCTGAGGAGAGGAGAGTGAAAAGCTTTTACAAACAGAATACTCCTGTGTGTCCACATGGCTCAGAGTAGAAGAGGACTGACTGGGATTCCTGAGGTCAGGGGTTCGGGACTTATCCAGGATGAGGTCAGTTTTAAAGTCTAGTGTCTACAGAGGAAAGTAGACAAGGAAACAGATGGAGTAATTCTATGTGTCCACGTGGCTCAGGGGATAAGAATACTGTCTGGGACTCCTGAGGTTGTGGGTTTGAACCTTACAGTCTGTCGTCGTGACCCAGTCTATGGTCATGACCCTCTCACTGACGACAAAATTGCAGATTTTGATTGGCATTTTTTGAAAATTGAATGGAATGACCCCTGCACTGCATTTTTTAAAAATTGAATGGACTGTCCCCCAGCATGGCATTTTTTAAAAACTGAGGTGATGTCACCGAGCACGACTCATGACATCACCTCATGACATCACGACATCAAAGCGATGATGTCACCGAGCATGACAATCCAAAACTCTGCCTCAGAACTGAAGCAGGATAACCAACGTCTAGGCGAGCGGAGCGCGACAAAGTCTGAAGAATATTTTAGCCGAGTTAGTGAAGTTATAGAGAAGAAGAGCACTTTCCTTCAACCATGACAACTCCACCACCAACATACCAGGCTGGTTTTGAGTTAAACACCCCCCCTCACCCAGCAGACAGTTCCAATGAGGAGGCTATGGCGTTTACATATGAAGATGTACTCGAGCTCTTCAGTGTACAGGGCCTATATCACAGTCCCATCACGGCGTCTGAGACACTGTGTGAAGATCGTGACCCCCTGACTGGCAACATGCTCTTTGAGGCAAACCACCTTACCGCGCAGAGCCAGACCACTGACACTCTGCCTTCATTTTCAACTCCACCTCCATCACCAACACACCCTGCTGGTTTGGGGTTTAACAACCCACCTCATTCAGCAGAATGTTCCGATGAAGATTTGGAGGATGTGACATCTAAAGATGTACTCAAGCTTTCTGACCGTCAGAGCCCATTGGACAGTCCCAGCACACTGCTTGAGACACTGTGTGAAGATAGTGAGCTGCTCGTAGATTACATGCTCCTTGAAGCAGACCACCTTTCAGAGCAGGAACTGACCACTGACCCTACGGCTTTCTTTTCATCTCTGCTTTCATTATCAACATACCCTGCTGGTTTGGGGTTTAACATCCCCCCTCATTCAGCAGAATGTTCCAATGAAGAGGTTATGGACTTAACATCTGAAGATGGACTTGAGCTTTTTGAACTACAGAGCCCATTGGACAGTCCCAGCACACTGTTTAAGACACTGTGTGAAGATCGTGACCTGCTGACAGATGACATGCTCTATGAGGCAGGTTTGGGGTTTAACAACACCCCTCACCCAGCAAACAGTGGGGCTGGACAGTTTGCAGAGGTCACAAGTCTTGAAAATGCTCTTCAGCTCTTTGACCAACAGCGTGCATGTGCCAGTCCTTACACAGCGTTTAAGTCAAATGAGCCCGCTGTTTCTCTTCCCCCAGCCTCCAACTCAAGGTAAGTATTGATTCAAATTACTCAAACTTTATTTTATTCATAAACGATCGTTATAATAAGCAAAGAGAATGGAAATGACATTAGGCATACCTTAACATTTATTCAATTAAAAAAGTTTGATAGAGCAACAACATTAACTTTCTCTCTGATTTTGACCAACAGGAAAAGAAAAAGGGAAATGGAGCAGGAGGACAGCTCGTACATCAAAAAGCCGCCAAATGCCTTCATGATCTTTATGAGGATGTACAGAGAAAATGTACCAGCTGAAGTTGCAGAGAAAGGGAGCGCAGAGACGAATGCTTTCCTCGGCCAGTGGGTAAGTGCGTCAGGACATGGTTCACTCGGGTTTAAATAAATCAAAGATTTTTACTTTATCTTTTCACTGTAACTGTTAATGTTGCTTTTTATTCACTGTCTCACGTAAAGAACTTTTAAAGGTATGAAAGTTTGCATAGAGGAAATGTTGTACACTCACTAATGAGTACCTGGTGTGCACCAGGTGTTGTTCATGCGCAAGTGGATGATCCAGTTTGGAAATAAGTGTGTTTCTGACAGTATGTTTTTGTCTGTTCACAGTGGAATAAGCTTACAGAGGAACAGCGAGGGGAATTTAAAGAAATGGCCAGAGTGGAAAAGGAAGAACACAGTCGGCTGTACCCAGGTTGGTCAGCCATCAACAATTATGTAAGTACACAATCTATGCAAAGCAGCACCACAAATGTTGTGATGTGAGCATGTGAGATTTCAAAAGCAGCTTTATACTACTGACACTGCATAATCTGGTGTTACCAGGTCAGAAAAGTAAAAATGTTATGTTGTTTTTCAGGGCAAGAAAAAGAAAAGGATGAGGGAAAGTGCACCAGCGGAAACTGCACTTGCTGCAGCTGAAACTGCACTTTCTGCAGCTGATACTGAAAGTATCACATTATTTCCATGCCAAGAGGGATATTGCTATTTAACCATACAAGCAGCTACAATTCAGTCAGAATTAAATTTACAAAAAAAAAAAAATAAAAAAATAAAAAAAAAAACAGTAACTCCGCCAAATTGTCTCAATTGAGTCAATTTTGCCGGTCCCCAGCCCGGATAAAGGAGGAGGGCTGAAGTTGTGACATTAAAAAAAACAAGAATCGACAGAGTAAAGTTCATTTGTAGTTCTCAACATATTTGGGCAGTTTTTTACTCACTCATCCTAGCTTCGGGATCAACTCGAGAGGGGGCCCAACAGCACGGAGACACTGCAGCCCTTTTCGTTTTTGCCGCCAAAGAGGCCGTGTGGCCTAAATAAATAAATAAAAATATAAATGAAATTATCAGTACAGAGGAAATAAATTTGTTTGTGTATTTTTGTATGTATATGTGGACAGGAAGCCAAGTAGAAGCTACTATTCCCTTGAATAATAACAGAAGATATTAAGCTTTAAGTAATATTAGGTGATGACATAAAGTAACATTTTCTGTTAAATCAGCGTAACTTCAACATTAAAGTTGCCATTAGAGCATTAATTCTGCCAAGAGACAAAACATTATTTTGTATCTAGTTTATTACAGTTAAAGTGCTGGTTTTATGAAATATAGTTCAAATTAAAGAGCGAAACTGTTAGATACAGTCAAAGAAAAAGGAATATATCCATAAAATGTCCGGTCAGTGTTGTGTAACTATTCATTATTCTGGTAAAGTTGTGATGATTCACACAAAGGACCCAGAAGTGAGACTCAGACTGGAGTGGGGTGATCAGGTTTCATTACAAAAACAGAGTTGCTTGAAGAAGCCTGTCACTGAAGGAGCTGCCCAGTGCTGTTACAATGCTCTGCAGAAAGCATTGTGAAACATTGTCCATGAGAGATGATCACTTAGCCATCATCCTCCTGTCCCCCACCACCTCTACAGGGCCCAGAAGGCAACCTAGAAAACAGAGCTAGCCTTCCTCACTAGTTTGTTCAGTCTGTTCCTGTCTGCAGTCGTAGTGCTGCTGCAGCAGACCACGATAGGCTGGCGCAAACTGAGCTGGAGCTTTAGAGCAGCTGATCAGGGACAGCTGCGTCTGATCAGAGCGAAGACCTCCTCACCACGCGTTCACCAGCCGCTGCTGCACTGAAACTAAAACACACAAAAACCTCCCAACACAAATACATAAAACACTAAAAAAAAACAATCACAAATAATCAAGGCAGAATTGAGGGTCCAAACCAAACAATCCCTGTTTGATGTGACAGTGTTTGCACTTAATCAGTTGATTATTCATACAATCAAAACAATGATTAAAAGTTAAAAACGGAAAATATGTGAAAACTACTTTGAGCCCAAGTTACACCTTAATGTTTTTTCAACCCACCAGCAAAAACTTTAAATTTGAAAAACTTTGCAAAACATATAATCCTTTGAGATTGAAGTCTTAATGTTTTTCCTCAAAAAAGCAATGATCAAAATAAACCGCTCATGTATGTGAATTAAATTAATAATCACTTAGAGAAAAACAAAATCATTAAAGTGAAACATTATCAAACACTGCTCATTATTATAAGGTTATGGGAGAAAAAATATGGTTTATTCATAAAATTAACATTATATTTCATCAGACAGAATATGAAGAGAGTTGCTGTAAAATGAATGGAGGACATGATACACTTGTGCCATTGAGTGCTAAAACTGACAAATCATATTTATCACTTTCTGAGAGGAAGCCTGTTCCCTCTCCTCTGACTCAAACCAAAGATGTCATTTCCCTTTTTAGTTGCTAAGTTACAGAAGAAGACTAATGAAATGTTGCATTCAGAAACAAGTCTACTGAAAGAAAGACTTCCCAAAATGCTTTGTGTTTCTCTTGTTTGTTCTCTGGGGGGTCTTGTTGTCCTCACCTCTGTTAACCACAGACTGCTGTTTCAGAGCGATGTGTCTCATTATACTGCCTGGTAGTTCTGACTTTGTGGCTGCCTTTCCTGCCTGTTAGCTCTCCTGCTCTGTATCCATCAGTGTAGTTACCTGCCTGTTTATAGATCTGAGGCTTTGCTAGATAGAGTCTGTGCGGCTATATGGTGTTATAAGGGATGTCTTTTCACACTAGCCTATAGAGGTACCATGAAATGTTTGAATTAAAACCAGGTCCTTAGAAGTATAGTTCTCAGGACTTGGACTGGACGCTCGAGACAAATTCAGCTACCCTGGAGGTCTATCCCCTCTGTAGCTATTTTAATTTTTGATGCAGCACTTTTGTGGTAAAAAGTAGAAACATTGCAGTCTCACTCCAGCTGAAGTGTAAACCTGCATATTTCATGTTGTAGTGCCTTGACCTATAACGAAACAACAGGCTGTTGCAAGAGCTGAGAAAGGTTTAAGCTGACAATCCTGTATTTTCTTCTAGATTCCATAACAATACTCCTCTCCTGAGGTCCCAGACCTGTTTAAATGAACATGAGGATGTTTTGTTTCCTCATAGGACTATTTTTAAGTAGAACAGAGGTTCATCTGATAATGAGTTAGCTCTTCAAATATCCTTTTATAATAAGTTATAAATTGTGAGTGACTTCAAACATAAACGTCCCACAGTGATTAAAACACCTGGGAGGAAGACTGTGATTCTGTCAAGATGAGTGTGAATCGAAGGAAAGATTGGAGTAGATATCTGGCAATATGTGTTTAGGACAGCCTTTTTCAAACTAAAAACACATCACCAAGTCTCTCTGTGTACACACAGGTTAGTTGATTAGTCATAGGAAGTTTTTCTTGTGTCCCTTACCGCACATTTTATCCAGTGATCAAAATTCATCCGATTTTTTTTAATCAAGGTTATGTTGGCTCAAGATTTAAAAAGATTTAATACATTCAAAGCAATGATTTGCAACATTACCAATCCTGTTAGTAACTCCTGCAAAATGATAATTGTGATGAAGTTTCCATCGATAATGCCGTAAAATGTTTTGAGACAAAACCTATAAAAAGTACCCAGATTTTTTTAGATAAAAGTTTCCACAAAAATCTGCAAAGAATTAGTATATGCGCCAAAATAAATAAAAATAGCTAAAGGTTTCCAGGACAGTTCTAGAAGGTTTTAATGAAAAATTCAAGAAAACTTGGAAGAAGTATAGTGCTTCAAATAAAGATAGATTTATGGAAAATTACTGGAAATCTTTTCAAAAATTTTCTGGAAAAATACTTAAAAATGTTGGGCAAAATTCCTTGAGAGATTCAATAAAATTTCCTGCAGGACTCAGAGAAATTTCCTGAAAATTTCAAAGAGCTCTCCAGACTGGGTCCAAGAAGTTTTCCTTAAATCTTGCCAGGTTTAGGGAACTTTCCCAAAAGGTTTTACGTTTCCTGAAGTTTTTGAGAAAATTAATACATTTAAAAAAATCAAGACAGTTTTATGAGTTCTCCTGAAAATCCTATCTTGAATGATTCTCCGAAAAGTTTTAGAGATTTTCTGGGAGACTGCGTTGGTATGCACTATTATGCTCTCATTATCATGATAATTATAGTTCAATCATGAATTACATGTTCTCATATGAAGTTCACACCATGTTATCCGTAGGGTGTTTGCTCAGGTGATTAATTCATTTTCTCACAGTGCAGGTTTCCTTCTTTTCCAGGCAAAGGCTAAATTTTTCCTCTATCCTCAGGTTGTAACATTTCCAGTACAGCAAAGGTTAGTGGGATGAAATTCTTCTGTCTGGGGACATTTCCTTGAGGACACACAGGGTCACAGATGTACATGATTGCTCATCAGCCCCTCTCACACAGAATAAATGAACGGTTCAGCTCTTCTGTATTTGAATAACCGAGCAGAAGCTTCCTGGGGCTTGTAATAGCACCTTGCAGAAATCTGTGCTTGTGGCCATACCGATGTGGGAAGGTTTTGGAATAAATGTTCAAACTAGGAAGCTAGAGACTTAAAAGGCACAAATAGTCCTTAGACTAAATTGTGGGGTGGTGTTTCCCAAAATGAAGAGCTCTGTAATATCAAAGTTTGAGAACTGCTGTTCTTTTTATATAACAGGGCAAACCAACAATGTCCCATTTACAACCTCTGTTTCTTATAGACAGTTATAAACATAATCTCGGGCATGCACGTCATGAATTTACAGCATTAAAGCTGCCACCATACTGATTATCAGTGTAATGTTATGGTAAAAAGAAAATTTATTTTTATTTTTGTTTTACTTGTAGTTTGGCTAATGAAGTCTTCTGCCAAATCCCAATCAATATAGTAATTGATCACACACTTTGGAGTTCATATGTAAATTTTCTTTCTATTAGATGGAACTATTGGAAAAAAGAAACAGATCTTTAGAAAAAATGTCCTTTTCTTATTATGCTTTTTGTGATTACCTTGCTGTTGATTGCAAACTTTTAGACAAGTTAAAATTTACAGCTAGCTTTACTTTCAAATGAGACATATTGTTACTTTACTTTGCCTCTACTCATTTTCAGTGGACCCCAGACCCCAGAGTAAATGGACATTTAATAGGTCAAACATAAGGAAATTGTCCACTAATTTCAAACTGATAGGATCTTTTGCCTGAAATTAAATAAAGACATCAATATCATGTAATAAATATTCCCCTCTGGCATTGTTGGACTTGGAGCACAGCAGTTTCATGAGTTCACCTCTCATTGCAAGTGGATGTTTGTAACACATCTGGAGGTATTTTCTATCACATCTCTGAGATACTCTGTTTTTCATGGATATTTTAAAGACACAGTAAAGCTGGCCTAGGAACAAAAACTGTCTATTTATATTTCCCTAAAATATTTGGGAATTTTTGTACCAAATTTAAGGAAATTTCCTCGAGATGTTGCATCCATAACAAAGAGATCGAAAGACTGAGTAATCATCCCTTCAAATGCACTTACTGAGGTTTACGTTTATACACAGACCTTTAGTAACATTGACATTATAGATTGAATGAACGCTTTGATAAGAGCGCTATCCTCTTTTCCATTTTGTTTTGTATTTTATCTATACAATTCAAT